CAGCGCCTGCCCCGGGGGCTGCGGGCCCCGAGAACTGTGCCGCGCAGGCCAGTGTGTGTGCGTGGAGGGCTTCCGAGGCCCAGACTGTGCCATCCAGACGTGTCCCGGGGACTGTCGCGGCAGGGGAGAGTGTCGCCAGGGCAGCTGCGTCTGCCAGGAAGGCTACGCCGGGGAGGACTGTGGGGAAGGTGAGCGGACACTGGGGTCTGGGCACAGAAGCCATTGCAAAGACCTGGGGGAGAGGAAAGGGGGAGCGGAGGGCGGTTGTTATGGGAAGGGGTCCTGACTGCCAGCAGCGGCAGAGCCCGGGTGGGGGCCAGGCCAGCAGGCAGGATGGTGTGACACCTCTGAGGGGCAGGAGGGAAGGTGAGGGGGTCGCGGGCCCTGCTCAGGCCTCTGCCCCCTTTGCACTGGCTGGCACAGAGCAGCGGGAGCTCTGCTGGGACACCCGAATTCAGGGAGGGCTGCCTCGGGCTAACCATTTCCCTACCCGCTTCTCCTGGGCAGAAGTACCAGCAGTTGAGGGCATGAGGATGCACCTCCTGGAGGAGACCACGGTTCGGACAGAGTGGACCCGGGCTCCTGGCCCTGTTGATGCCTATGAGATTCAGTTCATCCCCACGGTGAGGAGGGCACTGGGAAGGGTTCAGCAGCAGCTGGGACAGGTTTTGCTTCCCTTGTGTCCCACGCCACCGGCCACCACACCATCCATCTCCTAGGCTAAACCCCCTGGTTTCCATTCTCTGAATTCCTCCTTTTCCTGTGCCTTCTGCTCTTTGCAAGTTGGGGTCGGAGAGGGGCCACTGGCTGGCTCAGATCACAGAAGATTTTCTCAGCCTTGGCAAATACTAACTGTAGTCCTGGAAACTGCTCATAAAACCTTGTCAGGGAGTTGTAGGTACAGTACCAGGGATTGGATCCAGGAGTGTTTTACACTGAGCTACATCCGCAGCCCTTTTTATCTTCTTGATCGATATTTTTTTTTTCCTGGTACTGGGGATCAAACTCAGGACCTTATGTTTGATGCCTCTGAGCTACATCCCTAGCACCTGACTGGATTTTTTGTTTTGTTTTGTTTTTGGTACCAGGGATCGAACTTGGAACCTTGCGCTTGTGAGGCAGGCGGCAGAACCAGTGAGCTAAATCCCCAGCCAGTTTTTTGAGACAAAGTCTTGCTTTGTGGTTCAGGCTCGCCTTGAACCTCCCAAGTGCTGGGATTATGGGCATGCACCAACACACTTGGCTTACTTTCTATTCTGAGACAGTCTACATTGCCCATGTTGGCCTCAAGTTTGTGTTCTTCCTGCGTGAGCCTCTTGAGTAGCTGGGATTACAGGCATGTGCCACCGTGCCTGGCAGATCTTACTTGCTTTTTCTAGAGGTTTTTTTAAAAATAAATTTTATTTTATCCCACCCCCCCTCAAGCCTCCTCCCCTCCCTATGTACAGATCTTATTTGCTTTTGAAAAGTATCTTTTTTATTATAAAAATCCTGTAAACCTAGTGCAAAAATTTAGAAAACATAGACAAGAAAGGAAAAATGGAAGGGAGGAAGGGAAAGGAAGACAGACTAGATTCAGTGATAGTTTCCAGTCTAGATGTAGGCCTTCACCTTTGCTTCTGTTCAGTGTCATCTCTTTCGGCTTGGGCCAAGCTGTCTAGGCTGTTGCAATAATTTTGAGCCTGTGAACTTGCTCTGCCCCTCCATGTCATGAGTGCACTGCAAAGAATTTTTTCTCTGCCTCCATCCAACTTGCTCATAGAACACTGGAGGGGTGCAGCGAGGGCGAGGCCTGTGGCCTGTCAGCAGGGCCCTCCCTTCAGGCCTCTCCCCAGCTCCGAATCATCTGATCCCTTTACCGGCCAGCGTTCCCACACCCGTGAGCCTCACTAGTGCGATGGGAGGGGGGCAGGGCCACTGTCACCTCCAGCCCAGCCAGGACTTCAGCCCTGGGCTGAAGCCTCAGAGGCCCTGGGACAGAGGGACAGCTGAGGGGTGCTGGTGCGATCCCCTGCCCAGTCTTCTCCTTATGCCCTGCCCCCAACCCTGGCCAGACCCCTACCAGTTCCTGTCTCTCTCGTTCTGGCCAAAGCAGAGGTTTCTTTCCCTACTTCGTGGCACAACCAAGACAGCTCGGGTGTTTTACTCTGTTTAAAAACTATTTTTTGTTATAAAAATAATTTAATCACAGGGCAAGAATTTGGCAACTGGAGAAATAATTCTTGGCTGCTTCACTAAAACAAGCACTGCTAACTTTTAAAGTGTTTCTCCCGCTTTCTTCTGTGTGTATATTATTTACATAGCTCTAATCTGGAGCGGGCGAGGCTTTTAAAAGGAATTTTCCTAACAAACTTCAAGGAGTGAAGAATTAAAATAAACACTTGTGATAAGCAGGCTTTCAGGGCGGCCTCGTCTCCTGCTCTGAATAAATACAGATCCGTCCTCGGCAGCTGTCACAAGGTGCTGCTGTCCCGCTCCACCCCTCACTCCCAGCCCAGCTGCTGCAGGCTCATCTAGGTCCCCCGCTGTGAGGGAAGTCCTGTGAACTGGTCCCCAGACACCTGTCACGGGCACTGACCAGCCTGCGTTCCACCGCAGATCCTGCTCCTCCGCGCTCTGGCTGCCCCTGGACTAGGAGATTTGGCAGCTTCTGCGGTCTCCCTTCCTGTCTCTACCTCATCCCCTTCCTCGTTCCAGAAGCACCCCCATTCCTGGTGAGGGGACGAGTGTAGTCATTGGAATTATCTTCGGAATGCACATGTGGACCTGTCACTCTGCCCAGTGGCTCTCAGAGTGGTCCAGTGTGCTCTCTGCATTGACGTCAGCAGTAGCTCGTCTGCTCCTGCTCGGTACTCACACAGCTTGTCAGACTCCGCCCCCAGATCTCCTAGGTCAGGAGGCCTGCGGGACTGAGGTGTGGGAGAAAGTCTGGGGCCTGCAGGCCGAGTCAGGGAGCTGAGTGGGCTCCTTGTCTGGATGGTGTCTTCTGCAGCCTGAAAATGGGCTCCGCCAGACATGCGCTGGGACACAGGCCCTGCACACAGCACCGTGTTTGCTCAGGCCTCACTAACGTGGGGAGGAGACTGGGGTCCTCTGCCCGGCGGGTGTGAGGGTGCATGTCAGAATAAGAGAGAGACAAAGACAGACTGGGGTAATGGGCAGGTGGGAACCAGCAAAGCTTTGTTCTGGGGCAGGGTGGCACACACCTGTACCTCAAGAATCCCAACCGCTGGGCCTGAACCGGTGCTGGTCTGTGGCCTGTTAGGAGCGGGTCCACACAGCAAGAGCTGAGCAGCTGGTGCAGCTTAGTGACTTTGTGAGAACTCTTCTCAAAAGTTAAAATTAGAAAAGGGGGCCAGAGATTTAGCTCAGTGGTTCTGCCGCCTGCCTTGCAAGCTCAAGGACCTGATCCCAGTACCAAAGAAATAAAATTAGAAAAAAGGGCTTGGGATGTAGCTCAGTGCAAAGACCCTGGGTTCAAACCCAGTACTGCCAAAGAAAATACTTTTTAAAGCTTTATTTCACCCAGAAATCACTACGTGGCCTTCTCATCTGTTTTTATACTTTGGTATTTACTATGTTGATTTCCCCACAATTCTCTGTTTCGGAGAGTATCTTTGAAAATTTCCAGTCCTACTTGGCTGAATGGACACGTGCCCATCGCCGCCAACATAGCTGAGCAGAACAGAGCGTCCTCGGCAGCTGCCCTGGCCGGCTGCTCAGAGGCACAGCTGGCACAGGAGACCCTTCCTGGATGGGCGTCCAGTGACTTCCTGGGGGCTGCTGTGTATAATTGTGCCCCCTTACACGAACCGTGGGAGGAGGGTGGGTTTCTACCCATAGAGACTCGAGTGGGGCTGTACTTTAGCCACTCAATGATGAGCTGCCTAAGGGCAGGACCACATCTTGTATTTTCGTGTCTCCCACCTTGAGCATGATGCCAGGTATAAAGTCAGCCATCAGGAAACGCGCCTGAATTTTAAGCAGGCAGGGCTTGTTTTACGAGGTCCACCAGCCTGCCAAAAGGTCCCCAAAGGGAAATGAGCGGGTCACATCTGAATGACACCGCATAGGCAGCCATTGGTGGGAGGTGCGGGCTGAGCAGACACTAGAAGGAGGAATCGCCTCTGCTTCATTTACTCTGAAAGGATGAAGCTTAGGAGAGGCTTCCTGTGTCCAGGTGTTTGGGGTTGCACCGGGCAGCCACAGGGACAGTCCTGGTCATACCAGGTGGGTGAACGGGAAGCGAGTGCCCATGGGAGGGGACCTGGGTCATGGAGAGCTTAGTACGATACTTACCCTTCTGTGGCTCAGTTTCCTCTTTTGTAAAGCGGAGCTAACAGAATCTATCTCACAGGGCTGTTGCAAGAATTAAGAGGGCCCATATATGCAAACTGCCTAGTGCAGTGGGCGGTATGAATAAGGCTTTAGGGGTACGGCCGTGGCTTCCCATGCCCCCCTTCTTACATGGGGCAGTTCCACACAGTCCTTGTAGACAGTGTGGAACTGGAAAGACAAGAGAGGCGGGGGAGAGGGCCAGCCCCTGATCTCTCTGGTTGTCTCTCTCTCTCAGACCGAGGGAGGGGGCCCCCCATTCACTGCCCGGGTGCCCAGTTCTGCCTCTGCCTATGACCAGAGAGGACTGGCCCCCGGCCAGGAGTACCAGGTCACTGTCCGTGCCCTTCGAGAGACCAGTTGGGGCCCTCCTGCCTCTAAGACCATCACCACCAGTGAGTGCTGGGGCTGTGGATCGGGGTCTGGGTGGAGGCTGGGACTCTGGGGGTGAGGCCTGGATGGGAGGAGGCTCTGCGGAAGAAGGCTGACAGCCTGAGCCCTCCTCTCTCCGACCCACCCGGCTAGTGATCGACGGTCCCCAGGACCTCCGTGTGGTGGCTGTGACGCCGACCACACTGGAGCTCAGCTGGCTGCGTCCCCTGGCCGAAGTGGACCGATTTGTGGTGTCCTATGTCAGTGCTGGCAACCAGAGGGTGCGGCTGGAAGTCCCCCCAGAAGCTGACAGGTCACTGCTGACTGACCTGATGCCAGGCGTGGAATACGTGGTGACTGTCACAGCGGAACGGGGCCGAGCGGTCAGCTACCCAGTTTCTGTCAGGGCCAACACAGGTATGGCTGGCCAGGGTTAGCGGGGTGCCAGTTTCCAAAGCCAGGAGCTCCTGCTGGGGCTCCAAGCTGGGAGGACACGGGCTCCTCTAAATGCACTGGTGAGGGTACCGAAGACCCGGAGTACCTGCCCTGCCCTGTTCTCAGAGCGCCGTGAGACAGGCCTGGGGTGCTGGAGTCCCTAGGAAGGTTGCGGGGTGGACAGAGAAAGTGCCTGGTGAAGAAAAGCAGGAAACAGGAGATGCTGTCTGGACACCCCAGAGGGAGGGTCTGGGCCTGACTGAGGTAGGGAGGTGGCCACAGTCAGCACTTGGGGAACTGAACGTGGCAGGTCAGAGGTCAGTGGACCTGAGGACTGTAGGACTGGGCTTGCCAGGTGCTGGGCCCCACCACCCACTAACCCTCAGGTTTCTTGACAGATGCCTGGATCTTTGCTTTCTTTCCTGTGACAGAGGGACGTCCACCTGGCTGTAGCTCACATTCTCTCCCCGTCCCTTTTCTCTCCACCACATACAGGCCCGACCGCTAGCTTTTGTCTTTTCTAGGGCACCAGCAGAGGTGGGCTTGGCGGGTGAGGGG